CCCGTTTCAATTAGCGACCGCCGATTAAGACCCGAGGAAGAGGGGGATGAAGAGGAGGAGGAGGAGGAAGAGGAGGAAGAGGAGCAGCGTCTGACTTGACCTCGCTTCTCTTTAATGCACTTTAATAGTTAAAACTTCATCATTTCTCTTCACTCGAAGGCTTCTGGTGTCCAAATGTCTAAATAAAAATGGCCACAGATCCAGATATAATGAGCTGTAATTTAGTCTTTTACCTAAAGAAATTCAAAATTATGACTCAAATTTACTTCATCCACCAAACTTTATTTAAACTTTAATAGTCATAACTTCATCATTTCTCTTCACTCGAAGGCTTCTGGTGTCCAAATGTCTAAATAAAAATGGCTACAACTATGAAAAGTGGATTTAGAGTCTAAATACACAGATCCAGATATGATGAGCTGTAATTTAGTCTTTTACCAAAAGCAATTCAAAATTATGAATCAAATTTACTTTATCCACTAAACTTTATTTAAACTTTAATAGTCATAACTTCATCATTTATCTTCACTCGAAGGCTTCTGGTGTCCAAATGTCTAAATAAAAATGGCTACAACTATGAAAAGTGGATTTAGAGTCTAAATACGCAGATCCAGATATGAGCTGTAATTTATGACTCAAATTTGCTTCATCCACCAAACTTTATTTAAACTTTAATAGTCACAACTTCATCATTTCTCTTCACTCAAAGGCTTCTGGTGTCCAAATGTCAAAAAAAAAATGGTTACAACTGTGAAATGAAGTGGATTTAGAGTCTAAATACACAGATCCAGATATAATAAACTGTAATTTTGTCTTTTTTTTTGTTTGTTTTTTCCAAAAGCAACTCAAAATTTACTCAAATTTACCTCATCCACCAAACTGGGCATTATAGGAAATGGGATCTTTTGATTGGTCAGATTCAGAAGAAACTTAATGCCAAACTGCTTATTGGCTGTGTGATGTCATGTGACTTCTATTATCCCGGATGGAGTCACATTTTTCACGGAGTATAGGAATTAATTTTTTTTTTTTCCAATACATAAAGGTACCAATCAACAATTGCAATGAACATTTTTATAACAAGGGGCGATGTATAATAAAGTAAAATCCAGTGACAGAAAAAAATAATAAAAATAATCATTATGGAAAGCACTTTATATCTGCACATTTTTTTATTTTTTTTATTTAATTTAATTTATTTTTTTTAGATTTTTTGGCTCTAGTGGCCTTTAACTCATTGACTGGCAGACATTTTCAGAACAGAGTCCCTCACTGCCAGAATTTTTGAGCATTTTGACTTATTTTTCAAGAGCCACAGAATAGTTTGTGCTATGACTATGTAAACACCGAACACACCAAAAGAAAGAGTAGACTCTCTTCTTTCATCAGGAAAAAAAAAAAGTTTTTACCTTATTCCGTTCTTCCTGGACTTGCGTCTCACCGGCGACATGTTCTCTCATAGAACCGTTACCTTTTTCTTATTTGCCTACAGTCTATGCTCATCTCCCATCAAAAGTGGCACTGCCCCCTAGAGGGTCAATTTGTTACTACATACTCTGTCTAGAAGCCGATATTTACGGACAAGCTTTAGCAGATCGTCCCCCAGACACTCTCGCTGAAAAACATAAAAGACGTCTATAGACGTTTTGGCAGCCAATGAGTTAATGGCAGTAGCTTGACAGGAAAGGGGGCAGAGACAGAGAGGGGTAGACCTGCAGGAAAGGGCCATGGCCCGCAGTACCCGTTGGGCTACAGCATGGCCCTGACTTGACCTTTGACCCCAGCAGGCCGCCGCCCACCGATGGCGTCCATTTCGACCCCGAACAGAAGACCAACCCGGGTCAGCCGGAGACCCAAACCCACCGGCTGGTTGGAGACTTGGTGGGAGACGTGCCCCCCCCCCCCGGGGCCGCTCCCCCCCCACGCCAGCTTCTACCTGTTGCCCCCGGCGACGCCCGGCGCCCGGCGGGGGGGCGGCGGCGGCGGGAGGAGTGGGAGGAGCTTCGTGGAGAAAAACAAGCGGACTTTGGGGCGCCGCTCGGCCCAAAGGGGCGGATACGCGAAGGCCGGGAGGAGGCAGGAGACCGAGGTGGGTGGGAGACCCTGAACGCAACACGCAGTAACACACTAAGACATTGACATTGCTTTGCCTTTTAGGGCTGATTTGTTTGTTTTCTTAAGAATGATTAAACATTATTCAAATGGGCATTAATTTACAATAATCACCCATCATCCATCCATCCATCCATCCATCCATCCATCCATCCGTTCATCCGTCCATCCCTTTTCTGAGCCGCTTATTCCAAAATGTGGTCTGGATAGGGGGACTGGAGCCTATCCCAGAATTCATTTGGTGAGAGGCAGGGTACACCTTTGACGGTCCACCAGTTACAATAATGATATGAATGCATATCATCATGACCTTTACCAAGATGACAATTTGAAAAATGAAAGAAACATAATAGTAACCACCTGACACATGACATGATTTAGCCACCAGGGGCTGCACTCGCACCGGGGACCGGTCCAACTCCACCTCTGAGACCCGTCGGCTCCGGGCTCCCGTTCTGCCTCCGGTCGGGTTTATGGTTTATGTTTGTGTTTATGCATTTGGCAGACGCTTTTATCCAAAGCGACTTACAGAGTAGACACAGTATTACATTTCTCATCACTATGACAATAAGCTATACAGAGGAGAGGAGAAACACTGATCAGAGTCAGTGGTGAGATAGAGGTAGAGGGACTACAGAAGGAGCTGTGGGGGGGTAGAGGTACGGGTTAGGGTTAGGATAGGAGCTGTGGGGGGTAGAGGTACGGGTTAGGGTTAGGATAGGAGCTGTGGGGGGTAGAGGTACGGGTTAGGGTTA